AATCATTTCTTTTCTAACAAAGAGCAGCCTATAAAATCAAGCTGCAGACATAGATGACCAAAGCTTGCCCTGGTGAATACCGGCAGCCGTGCCAATAGGAAAAGGCTACCTGGGGGAGGCGTGCTCAACATGGCAGCTCCATCTTCCCTTTTCCTTTCCAACCACGTGGACAGTAAGGAGCAGACCACATGCTGAGGGTCAAGTAGAAACCCTATTTGCATCATAAGGTTAGGGTGGGGTGGCCAATTTCTTCCAGCGCTGTGTAAACATAATACCTGGTCCCACCAATCTTTGGGCCTATGTAAATCGGACACTGCCTCCTCAAGCCAGGCTATAAACCCCTGTGCCCTTCAAGACAAAACCAGAAGTCCTGCTGGGGCGCTCCTCTGTCTCAGGAGAGGGGGCTATTCTCCTTTCTCTTTCTTTTGCCTGATAAACCTCCACTCCTAAACGCCCTTCTTGTGTGTCCAAGTCCTCAGTTCCCTTGGTGTGAGGTGAGGAACCTCGGCTATTTACCCCAGACAACGCTGCGACTTCCAAATGTTGGTCACCCACTCTCTCCAGCTGCAGCGTGTTGGTGCCATTCTCAGCAATTACGGCTTTGACAATGCCCCACTTTTGACGCCAAATCAGCAGCCATTGTCACGATCTCCAGCCTTCCTGGTTACACTGGATGCTCTCTGCCCCAGCTGATCTGCTGGTGTTTGGGGGGCCAGGCCCTGCAGCTCTCTCTTACCCAGCCTCAAATGTGCCACTGCTCACAAATGTACCACATCAGGACCTCAGCCTGGCCCCTCACCACACACTCTTTGCCTTTTAGAACGCAGTGCCATGCTGGGTGCCCAAGGCACAGCAGGGTTTTCTCACACTCTGTCTGCTGCACAGCCACAGCCTGAGGAGCCTCAGCTCGTGCTGGAGGGAACTGGAAACAGTGTCACTGGGAAGTGAAGGCCTTGCCCTATGGCTTCCACTAGTCTTCTGCATTGCCACGTGCTGGTATTTCTCCCCTTACACCAAGAAGCAGCAAGTGGAAAATGTAAAGAGAGAAAGCAAATAACACCCCGTAAGAGATGACTATGTTTTCAGAATCAAGAGCAAAATTATGAAACCTCTAGAGGTTTGGGTTATGTTTTTCCATTTGATGAGGATATTTGCCACCCCTGTTCCTCCCGCTAGGAGCCTACACGAAATCCAAGTGTGAGCCATTCACAGACTAGAACACAAGGAGGGAGAGAGGCTCCTTTAAATGTAAATAAACATGTAATGTATTCATTGAAAAAAAGACAGTGCAAATTAAGGATATTATATCCAACCAAGCTCCCTTCAAGGTTCAAGGTACAAGGGAATGGCTTTGCTTCAATTTCACATGGGCAAGGCTCAAGCATACTATGACTCAAACCCTGACCAAATGCTCTCTGGACCATGGTAAGACAGGTCGTCTTGTGAAGCGTTATCATAAGACTATTTCTCATTCATCTCTTGTGAGGCCTCCTTGTCTCGCAGCAAGCTACGAGTAGGCAGTTTTCACCTGGTTCTGGTAAGCCGTAGAAATTTCCATCTTGCCCCGAACCCCTCAGGGTACAACCATAGACTGTCACTGCCTAGCTGCAATATAAAAGTGGCCCCTTCTTGACAGAGCAGCCCACCACTTGGGTTGTCACCTAGTAACTCCAGTTTGGTGTCATGCTGTGGAATTACGGATGTGGGGAGCAGACAGCAAACTAATCTTTCTTATGTATAGATATCCCCTATCAGTGATGCTGTGTGCATAAGTCCAAGTGTGAGCCGTTCACAGATTTGATGCCCAGCATGGGGCCAGCAAGGTCACAATGTCTTCTTGGAGAAAAGACAGAAAGAACCATGTGGGGCCAGGTTAGCAGTTTTGAGAAGGGCCTCCAGGATCTGGTAGGAGATGTTCTCCTGCCAGTAGCAGGTGTGAGGGAGAGTGATGGTCCTCCTATGTCCCATTTGGAGGCTGAGCATTGATGAGGGAGGGCTGAAAC